GGATATTTGGGTGTTGATTTTTCCCCAACAGTTCTTTTGTCACATGAATCCTATTCAGAGACTTGATTCCACTCTATCCTAAAGAGCAAATCTTCAGTCCCATGAAGTGCAGGAAAGATTAAAAATGTCTAGCTACTGTGGAAATGTGACATTGTGTATAATGCTTTCAAAGCAGAAGAAAATCTAACAGAGATTCAATATAATGAGGGGACAGTGCATGCTACCTTGGATTAGTTTTTAAATTCTATTTAAATAAAATTTGCCCTGTGTAAAGATTGTTTATTTGGAATCAACTAATATGTACTGAGCACCAGCTGTGTGTGCTAAGAACTTACACAAAGCAGGACTGCCTGGGTGGCTCAGTTGGTTAAGCATCCGACTCTTGGTTTTGGCTCAGGTTATGATCTTATGTCATGGGTCAAGAGGTCGAGCCCTGCGTTGGGCCCTGAGCTCAGTGGGGAGTCTGCTGGAAGATTCTCTGCACCTCCCCCACAATCACACACATGCTCTGTCGCTTTCAAATAAATAAATCTTAAAAAAAAAAAGAACTTACCAAACCTTTTTGCATATAAACATCACACCAACTCCAAGACATCCAAGTCAGAGAAGTTAGGTCACTGGCCTAAGATCACACAGTCAAAGAGAAATGTGGAATCTAACTCAGATCTTTGGATTCCAAGTCCAGCTTTGTTATGTGGTATCCTACTGTCTCCTAGAGATAACAGATTTTGATTTATTATAAAGAGAATAAAAAGGCCTTTTTCACTTAGTGTCTAGTAGATATAAAATTATAACATTTATAATCATTTAACTCACTTAATGGAAAATCCCTATGATTCAGTTTAACAATAGTGATTGCATTTGTCTTATAGGAAGGATTGGTCCTATGAGAAGGGGTAACATCAGACAAGATCTATGTGAGGTAAGATTCAAGAGGTACCACACAGGGCTCTAGTATTCACTCTCCACCAGCTACTCTTTCTCTCCCATTTTTTTCCTGCAATATTTTGAAACTCCATCCTTTTAAACACATGATTTTTTGAGCATCACATTGCACACATTAAGACCTTCCTCGAGTTCAGAGCTCAGTAAATTAACTGTGACATAGAGGATATCTCCCATTCCAAGTTGGATGGATTGATAGTGTCTGCTTGGAGCTTCAAGATGAGTAGAATTCTGAATTCAAGACTGGGTTCAATAGGATCAATTATCGATGTAAGTTAAGGGAGGGGGCGAATAGTACTAGTTCAGCAGTAGTAGTAGTTAAGTAAAAACAGGTTTTATTTGTCACTGCTCTATTAACCTACACAATCACTACTACCTTAGTGAGAATTTATCTGATAACTTTCCTAGCATTTAGAGGAAGGGAAGAAGACAGAGAAAGGATCATTCTGAGGCTTGAGCTGGTTATATAACCATATAACTTATTGTGGCACTTCTGAGAGCAGAAGAGGGTCTATTAACAAAATGCGAGGATAATATATGTAAACTACGATTGGGTGGTATGGTCATCTGAGCTCTGGGGAAAGGCAGTCCCTTAAGGAGTTCCTTCATTATTTCTTTCTTTATTTTTTTAAGATTTTATTTATTTATTTGACAGAGAGAGACAGGAGAGAGGGAACACAAGTAGGGGGAGTGGGTGAGGGAGAAGCAGGTTTCCCGCTGAGCATGGAGCCCGATGCGGGGCTCGATCCCAGGACCCCGGGATCATGACCTGAGCTGAAGGCAGCCGCTTAACTGACTGAGCCACCCAGGCGCCCCAGGAGTTCCTTCTTTAAATAAGTCCACCTAAATCTTTTTTCCTGATGCTATGGTTTTTTCACAGCAGTGGCTCCCAGCAACTATATTTCCCCAACAGCAAAGAGGAACTGAAGCAATTGCATATGTTTAGGAGTCCTGAAACCCTTGGAGATTCAATGTGACACACGGGAGAGAAATTCAGTCAATTTGCAATTTTTCAGAGGCTGATTATCGAACTAGTGCATTAACTTCCAGACCCCTGTTTTATTTCTTCCACCAGTTAATTTAGCAATATGTCAGTTCTGATAAGAAGGTTTGATGGGGAAGAAGATGAGGCTATTACATAAAATCAGTTTGGGGAATTACCAGTAGATTTCAATTATCCATGGTACTCTTATTGAAGGTTGATTGACTGTGAACCATGGTGATTCAGCTGGACAGCCTTGCTATTTCTAAGATAGAGCTCTCCTCGTCTTTTTGTCTCTTCGAATACACAGTGTATGTGCACTTATAGATTCTCACTTGCCCAGGCCCATTATCTGTGATTAACAAGATTTGTTTTTTCAAATTGATCAATGATCACTGAAATCAGTTTGCAGTAATATATAATAATAAAATAAAAGGATGAACTCCTTCAATATTCAATGTCTTGTTATTGAGGGCCTATGTTCCAGATATAAAAAAGAAAACAATAGTGAGCTACTCTTTTGAAGGGAAGGAAAACAATTAGAGCCCACATGGTATATAACATATGGCATATAGGCTACTAAACTGTCTTTAAATGCAATTATTATGTAAGCTTAAGAGAACATTTAAAATGAAAGGAATGCACCCTGAACATTAGAAAAACACTCCAGGACACAAAGGTGTTAACTTCTCCTGCATTAATCTGTAGCAACTCCTCCTAAATTAAGTTGGATAATCAATCTAATTTACTCATTCAAATCTTGATCATACTTGAAAGCCCAAATTAAAATCCAATTCTCTTTCTGAAGACTGTTGTCTGTTTCAGGTCCGGAGTCTCTCTCTGTTCTTCGCTATAGATGCTCAAAATACTCATTTTTCCCATAATTGATATTACTATATAGTTATCTCACATAGTTATTTAACTTATGAATTACTATTTGACTTTTCACATGAGAAACCAGTATTATCTCCCAAACTAGACTATAAATATATATGTGTTCTTGTATCTCTCCCCAAGATCTAACAGAATTTTGAATGTATTTACACCAGAACATAGGAAATTGCTTGTAATTGATCATTTTTAATCTGTAAAAAAGAAAATTGCATATGGTTCAGCCTGCTAACAATTCTAGAAATGGTTGTGGTATGAGTACAATTATGTTTAAAACTTTAAATTCACATATATATACACAGACATATTATATATGTACAGATAATAAATGATTGAGTTTGGGTTTTTATTTTTCAAGTAGACATCAGCTCCAAAGAGCTCTATTCAGTAGCTTCCAGACATGATTTTTAAGAAATGAATATGATGACTTCTTTTCCCAGGAAAAAAAAAATTCAGCCGAGATAACAGAGCATAAAGTACTAACTCTCTCAGCATAGCAATGCGTATATCAAATTATTTTCTGGCACCGTGTACTTATTGAAAAATTACTCTGTAGAATAATGTTCCTCATAGATAGTCTTTATTTTGAGGGCTTACGATACGCCAGGCACCATTCTAAACATTTCACATCTATTAACTCACTGATCCCCTCACTTGTCACCTTTTTTCAGATGAGCAAATTGAGGCATGAAGAGGTAAGATAATTTGCTCAAGATAACACAACTAATAATGATTGAATTGGGTGTCAAATTCAGGCAGTCTGGTTTCAATCCTTAATTTAAATACCACATGGACTCTAATCAATAGAAATAGAGTTATTTAAAAATTAGAATAAATGCAACATCATGTAGCTTTGGGAAATGTATAGCATCTGGTGAAGACTATCATTTGGAGTTACAGAGTTGAACAGAACATACCCCAAGGCTTGAAGACCTGCAGTTTTAGCTCTCTCATATAAGCAACTTGAAACCATTTTGAATTATAGTACCTCAGTTTTCTGCATTAAAAATGGACATTTACAGCACTGACTCTTCTATAAGAATTTTATTAGAGGAGAATGAATAACAGATCTTATAACACATGCAGATTAGAGCCTTGAACTGATTAGACCAGTTTATTTTTATATTTGGTTATGAATGTATACATTCAAATAGTTTTGTAAAATTATGTTTAATGCTACTTTTCTATAATCAGTATATGTTCTCTAACACAGATATGTGTGTGTCATTTTGTTTGGTACTTGAAAATGATATAAACACCACACAAGCGAGAATAAATAAGGCTGCTTAACTGGGTGTAGTAATCAATCAATACACATATGCATACATAATGTTACAATATGTATACATAAATTATATATATATACACACATATATATACACTACACAATATGTTTAGTAATAGAATTTGTCTTGATTTACACTATGAATATTTTTTATAATTTAACCTTTTTAAAATAATTAATGAGATAATCCAGTGTGATATCATCTAAGGTTGGATGAGAAGAAACACATCTTTCTCTGGAATTCTGCAGCAAATAGTAACAAAAGCTTTAGGTGGGAAATCGGACATTTTGCTTTGAGTTTCTGGGCCTTAAGTTGGATTGACTGGAAAAACAAAGCAGATGAATTTATATTGTTCAAATGACAACTTTCAGCAAGTGTGTGAAAGCAAGATTTGTTTTTTAGTTCTAAAGTCTATATTCTAGGAAATGTAATTCTGTGCCTCATAATAAAATGAGCCAAGCACACCCTTCTCTTTAAGAAAGTATCAGAAGAAGAACATCCATGAGTGTTTCTTAGATACAGACCTAGGCGCTTCCTATAATAAGATGAGCCACTCAAAACCTGGGAAGATTTTTCTAAAGGGAAATGCAGCGACAAGCTGTTACCCATGGCTGAGTTTGCGAAGAGAAGAGGTAGAAGCTTTGGTGGACCCGCAGTGTGGGCTTATAATTTTCAAGTCATACCTATCTGAGCTGCTTGAGTTTTCTGATCATTCTCATGAATTCCATTTTTAGTGGCGTCAGAGGTTAACCAGGCCACAGCAAACTGTGGGCTACTCCATTGTTTGTTTCTGTTGTCGTTGTTGTTTTCTGCTTTAGAAAAAGTACTTGGAGAGTCAAGCTACACTAGTGATCAAGTTCAGTCAGGGCGAAGAGAGTGCCAGTAGGCAAGCTTACCTTCTTGCAGGCTGTGATGGAGGTCCCCAGGCCGCCTCTCAAACTGTGGCTGGCACTGCCCTCCTGCGGCACAGACACCTCGTACATCAGTGGTGACTCCAAGTTGCTGTTGGTGCCCCAAAACACAAAAGAGAGCACATTCAGGTGAGTCATCTCCATATTCAGAATGGAAGAAACACAATGTGGTTTATCGAAAGACATCTTTTCAGATGGCACGGAAACTGCAAATCCTGCTGACACTGACATTTCTGTTGGCTTCACTCCTATAATTGGTGGAGCCACTGTGAGCTCTTCTCTTGGGAATAGGAAACTGTGATCCAGTGACTTCTCATGGCTTACGTGGACGCAGTGCATCTGTCTGACTTCCAGTCCTGCTAGTTTTTCTTAAGCAAGCAGTTTTAAAACCCAAGTAATGCTTTTTGAACACCACATTAATTCTGCTCGGAATTAAAAATGTAAAAATATTCATCTTATTTCTTGAAATGAATGACCAAACATAATTTTAATCAGGAGTCAGGGCAGTACCATGGTACATCATCTCTTTAGATCTCTGTGGCTGGAAACATAATACCTTAACTTCTCTGCCTCCAAAATTCTAGACTTATCTCCCCCTCCCCCCATGTCTAATTGAGATCATTACCAATCCTGCTTTTCATGGTATGACTGGAAGATTTTGAATTCAGTCCAATTGAAATATAAAAAGAAGTCTGGGTTTATGTATTTCTAAATATTTCTCTTCTGAAAACATGAAAACTAGGAATTTAAAAAAAAATGTATGGGTATCTGAAGTCTACACATTTTATTTTTATTGTTCTTGACCACATAGAATATGTACAACTCCTCAAAACATATTTTTTGAAATATGATCTAATAAGTCTTTGTGTACTCATCAAGCCAACATTTAAAAATGTTCTCTTAAAAGAAACAGCGAATAGAAGATCAGTTAAACAATGCATTTCTAGCTAATATGTAACCCTCATGTTTTAAGTTCTAAATTAGTCAATTTTCATTACATTGCAATTAAACATAAGTCAGAAATACATAAATGAAGTCTTAGTATTTCCATTATTAACTATTATGAATGGCTTTTTTTTTTTTTAATGACTGCTGATGGTGTGTATAACAGACCACAGATTCAGGTAAAAATTACACAGAATAATTCAAGTAAAATCTATTTTATTTTAAATTCTCATATTATTTTCTGAGTAATTGCCACCCTGAGGACTAGAATGAGCTTAATTTAAGTGAAAGGAGAGCACTCATGTTAATCTTGGCTTAACTGGGAAAAGGCAGTGGAAGGAAAAAGGAAAGGAGGCTGGTACTTGGCTCCAGATTCCTAGCTACTCTGCTGCCTGCTTCTTTGGATCTGTCTCCTCATTTTTAAATGAATGTTGGGAATAAAGTCTGTGGTCCTTTCTGGCACTAGAAATCACTTGCAAAATATCATGGAGAGCCCAGCCCTATTTTTACAGGTGTCTCACAGGGGGGGCCCGTAACTTTTAGCTGACACTTAAGTGTGTCTATACCTCACACCCAATAGCAGATGCCCCTCTGAATGCTTTCCTGGCCTTAGGACAGTCTGGCTCTTACCCAAATGCCAAACGTTTATCATTGGTAGGTTCCAAGCCACTTCTATGTGGAAGCTAAGCCCATAGAACAAGCTAACTTGGATATTTAATAACTTGGCTCATGAGTCAAGGAAATCATACTTTCCAGGGTTAGGATATCTCCCATGTCTCTCTACAGGGTTAACAACCTTAGGAGTGAGACGGAGGCAGGCTGAGAAGTACGGTTGAGACAGATCTGATGTGAAACAAGGTAGGAAAAGAGCTTCAATAATCTCTGATTGCTCTAGAGGAGAATGACATCTACCTTGGGGAGAGTTAGTTAGGTCCAAAGTAAGCGTTAATGGGAACACAGAAAAAAGTAAAAAATCACCCATGGAAATTCCTCATTTCCCCATAAAGCATGTTGTATATGACTGCAAGTAGACAAGGTGCTACAGTAATTTTCATGCATAAAAAAAGTTTAAGGACTGCTGCGTTAGTCTAGTGGAAGGAAGAAATGACAAGTCTACCCACATATACCTTGGTATGAAAGCCTGACTGCCTTTAAGATGATTGTGAGATCCCAGTTGGAAATGTAGGTGAGGAAGGACTTTGAAAGTGTTATTTGCCTATAAGGCTCACTCCATTTGTCCTAATGCTAAGTCTGTATAGCACTAATACAGAAAGTAATTTTAAATATATATATCCATATGTGTGTATTTATTTATTTATATATATATATATATATATTTATTTATTATTGTGAGAATTAAACAGGGTAGTAGATTCACATTAGTGGGAGTAAAATCAGTGCATTACTCGACAGAAGTCCCACTGCAGCAATATTCAAAGAGAAAGCAACTTCTAATCCCCAGAAACACATTATAAATCAATTTGGTGATGCCTAATATACAAAACTATGTGTAGAGAGGCTTCTCTTTTAAACCATGTGACATGGGTGTGAGTTCCCAGTAAGTGGCTTGACAACGCAGCCCCATCTGTTCCCATGCCTTTGGGATGGAGATGGAATTTTTAACGTGTTTGCAAAGATGTTGTCTTTGGTCTCTGGGGAAGCAGAACATTGGCTGCTACAGGATGAGGCAGAGACAGCAACATGAGACTCAGGCATTTATTAAAATGAGGGCAAACTGACATTAAAAGAACTGCTGTCAAGACACAGTGCAACCTTATAAGTTGCTTCTAATGGGGAAGCCTGCAAGTTCTTCCCTGGGACATTTTCTTTGATTTTGACAAATGTTGACAATATTTCTTAAGCACATCCTTTCAGGCTGGTTTCATGCTGAAACTGCTAAATGTGTTTCAATGAGGAGGTAGATCAAAGTGGAAAAGAAGGTACAAAAGCAAAGTTTGAAGTAGTGACTTTAAAAAAATACAATGGGAAGAGAAGTAGTCTCCCTTACAGATAATATCATATGTGAATGAGGTGCTGAGTTACCACCACAGGACAATCATCAAGGGTTCATTCAGTGTGAATAAGTAGGTCATCAGTAGTGACAATGGCTTAGGGAATAGTCAGTGACTTCTCCAGAGAGAGATAAGTGTCCTGTTACTGGAAATCAAGTTGCCTATATTTTGCTACTCAAAGTTTGGTCTGTGAACCAACAGCATTGATACCGCTTATGAGCTGGTTATATACCCAGGAATTCAGGTCTCTCCCTAGAATTACTGAATCAGAATCTGCATTTTAACATTCAACCTGGGGGATTCACCTGCCCGTTAAGATTTGAGAAGCATTTATCTGACTTGTTAAATTAAATACATATTCCCATTTGCCCTTGGATCCTTGCACATGGTATTTCTTCTTTGAAGAACACCCATCCCAGGCCCCCTCCTTCCTCTTGAATAATACCTACTCTACCTTTTGGGTCTCCATTTATAAATCACCTCTTGCGCCTCCTTCCTCCCCAAGGAGACCACTACTCCTCTCCAACACATCACTAATACCTCATGCAAACACAAACACACTCACACTCTAACCATGCCTTCTATTCCCAACCTTACCCTAACCCAAGAAATGGGATGGACACTCTTCCTGTGTGTTCCAACAGCACCCTGTACCATGTCCTGTTACAGCACTTGTCAAATGGCATATAATTTTGTAATATTTGTCTGTCTCCCCTTTAGGCTGTAAATACTGAAAGAACCCGGACCTGTTAGGACGGAGAACAGCGCCAGCCAGTGGTGGATGCTGAATTAATACTTATTAATATTCTTACCTTCCTGAGCATCCTGGTGGACATCAAAAGATTAGTCACAAAAGAGTGTTTGAATTCAATGCTCAATTTTCTGCAGTGGTGACAGATGGTGAGATAAACCATCCTTGAGGGGATCATTTAAAGAGCTTCCCAGGATAGTTTTAGTGAAAAGGGATCCTGCTGCTATTGTTGCTCAAATGTCAAGTAAACGAAGTGTAAAGTTAAAATAAATTTAGCAGATTCTAAAAGGTAGGATTTGTTCTTATCTCCTGCCCACTTATAGAATGTTTGCAGTAAAATGTAGTAATTACCATTCCTTTGATTATCTCTATCCTATTAAGGATATTTACTCTTGAGCTTTATACTAAATCCTTCCATCTCAAAACTGGAGAAAAAATAAAAGCTCACCTCTATCAGAAGAGAACTTTAAAAGGGAATTGAGATGGTCTCATTAAATTTAATTTAATGACATACCACAACTAAGAATTTAGAGGACTTTATAACACAACTTCACGTGGTTCAAAATGAAAGTGTGCTCAAGTGGATGTCCTTATTTTACTCTCAGCCAAAGGGATTAACATGTTACATGAAGCTCAGAGGTTTAGGTCAGTCTTTCTAAAACCAATTTGTTTTTAAAATCCCATGATGTTTGTTTCTCTTACCTTCATCTTCTTTTTTAAAAATTTTTAATTTTTTTTCCTTTTTATTTAAATCAATTAGCCAACATATAATACATCATTAGTTTTTGGTGTAGTGTTCAATGATGGTCATTAAGGAGGGCACGTGATGTGATGAGCACTGGGTGATATAAGCAACTAATGAATCACTGAACATTACCTTCACCTTCTGACTAGTCTATTGACAAAGGCTTTCTCCTTGACCAAACTTCAGTCAGGCTCCCCCAAGTGTCTTTTCAACTAGATCTTGACCTTGAACTACATCCTTGCCCTTGACACACTGAGCGCAGTTTTTAGCAAGGAACCCTGCTAAGTCAGTTTAGTAAAAATCCCTCCACCCTTGACATCTGTCCTCATCCCTCACCCTTGATAACTACGTCCTTGGTTGGCTTTTAGCAGGAATACTGTTAGGCTATTTTAGCAAGGATCCCCCTACCCTCAGTATTTCCACTTAGTACACTGACCCCCTCACTTTGCCTATTGCCTCTAAGTCCCCATTTGTCCCTGTTATATGTGGAATTGAGCTCAGTGTTCTATACTGATGTCTTTCTCTCCTACTGCAGTAACTCAAATAAAATCTGTCTTGCATTTTCAGCAAATGTTTGCGGCAAAAGTTTTTGTATACAGTATGTGCTCTTACACTCTCCTGCTCCTTTTCTTTC